TTTTGTGTGTGTGTGTGTGTGTGTGTGTGTGTGTGTGTGTGTGTAGGTCAGAGGCCAACTTGCAGGAATCAGTTCTCTCTTTTAACTATATGGGTCCCAGCTATCAAACTCAGTAAGTCACAAGGCTCAGAGGCAAGTGCTTTTACCCGCTGAGCCATCTCGCCAATCCATGATCATTTCTTAAACAGACCTCTCCCAAATATACTTCTTTCCATTTTACTCTAGAATGATCTTTCTGCAGGATCTACACAAATTATACCCCCCCACCCCAGCATAATTCAGATCTTTTCTCAGAACTGTACCCTATCCTTTCTAGTACTTCCCAGTTCAAATCCAGTTCTCCCTATCCCCTTGAGCTGTTTTTTTCTCTATTACTCATTATTGTAAACCTAACATTACTGTTTTCCTTATTTATAAGGAATATTTACTGTTATATTTACAAACTTGTCTTATTTGGTTTATTAGTTTATACACTTAAAAAAATTTAGTGTGTGTGCATGTGTGTTTTTGTGTGTGCACATGTGTGCGTGTGTATTATAGCACACATGGAAGCAGGATAACTCTGTGGCGCTGGTTTTCTCCTTCCACCTTTATGTAGGTTCTGCAGACTGAACGCCAGTTGTAGCAAGTGCCTTTACCTGTTGAGCAATCCCACTGGCCCTTAGTTACACACTTCTTATGGGTTTGCAATTATGTTACATTATCTTTGAATTCTATAAAAAACCTGTCACACACCTTTGGTCCAAAATCAGGCACAGTGGTGCACACTTATAATCTTATCTACTAAGGAAGTGGGGGCCAAGAAGAGAGGCTAGCCTGGGCTTTAGAATACCTCCTCTCCAAAACAAAACAAAACAAAAAAAACCTCTGGTAATAAAATGTCACCCACAAATGTTTACTAATAAGTTAAGTAGTTTAAAAATTAGGACTCACCATGGAGGTATCCAGACTAAATGTACTTCCAAGCCTAGGCACATCTATTCTGGACTCCATTTGTGAGGGCAATGAAAATGGAAGTGAGTGCCGGTTGGTCAACTCTCTTCCAGGCCAAGGGTCACTGGCATTTGGCGTAGCTACTGGTACCTTAGGGATTGGTCGAGGCAACCATGAGTCCCCAAGGCGGCTAGAGGGGACAGGAGGCAGTTTTTCCCTAGATGGACAATCGCCTGGTGTACAAGGCAGGGGGCGTCTCTGAGAACGTGTTTCTGCTCCAACACAGTAAGGCCGGTCTGGAGGAGGTGGCGGTGGAAGATCTCGAAGTGTGGGGGGTATTGGCAATGGTTTGTCCTTATGAAGGGAACCAGAAGCAGCCTATGGAAGCAAGATGAAAACAAATCAATCAAAACCCACTAATGCATAACAAAAGCTCAGACAACTGCAGAAATGGATGTTTTACCTTGGAAGCAGTCCCCAGGACAGAAGCAGTTGGAGGAACAGATACTCGCTGTTGTAGAAGGTCAAGTCGTGGTGGTACTGGAGGAAGGGAAGCTTGTGGGGCCATGGAGAATGGAGAGGGAGGTCTTTCCACCTAAAACCAATGCAATAGGTTACTCTTGTTAAAGGAACTGACATCATTCAACTCCTCCAAAAGTTAGCAAATACTAACGTGATCACTGGATATAAAAATACAGACATAGCCAGGTGCGGTGGTGCACACTTTTAATCCCAGTACTCGGGAGGAAGAGGCAGGGGGATCTCTGTGAATCCAAGGCCAGCCTGGTCTACACAGCGAGTCCCAACCCAGCTGGGGCTATAATCCTGTCTCAAAAAGACCAAAACAAAACAAACACAACAAAACAAAGGCTCTGGGTCAACCTCTAAAAACAGCTATTTCCAGAGTCCTGAACAATTTTTGTATCACCATAAGAGGGCACTCAATAACAGGTGACAGGCTTTTTTTGTGGGGGTCTTTTTGAGACAGGGTCTCCCTGTAGCCCCAGCTGTCCTAGAACTCACTATGTAGAGCAGGCTGGCCTTGAACTCAGAGATCCGCCTGTCTCTGCCTCTGGTGTGCTGGGATTAAATGCATGCACCACCATGCCCAGCAAATGATAGGCTTTTTTGGGGGGTGTCTTTTTGAGACAGGGTCTCCCTGTAGCCCCCAGCAGGCCTAGAACTTGCTATGGAGACCAGGCTGGACTCAAACTCATAGAGATCCACCTGCCTTCTGCCTCCCTAGTGGTGGGATTAAAGGCATGCCCCATCACGCCCGGCCTGACAGGCTTTTTATAAGCAAATTCATCTAGAAAGGCAGTTCTACTAAAAGCATCCTATCTTACCATTTAAAAAATTACTACAATATTCTATGTCTTCATCATTGGAAAAAGAAAAGAACATTGTCAGGATTAAAATTAGGAACCCAGGACCAGCAAGATGCCTCAGCAGATAAAAGCACTTGTTATGCAAGCCTGGCAACTTGAGATCAATCCCTGGAATCCACATAAAGGTAGAAGAAGAGAATTGACTCTACAAAGTTGTCCTCTGATATCCACAGGAGGAACACCCCCACCCCATTATGAGCCCGCATGCGCGCACACATACACAAATAGTAAATATAACAAATTAAAGATGAAAGATTTATATGAACTGAAGAGAAACCAGAGTATAATACATCAGTAGTCAGTCAGTACTTTCTTATTTTTCTCTAAAGAAACCTGACTTACTAAAACAAGCTTCTACAGCTAGGCACTGTGGCATACATTTCTAATTCTAACACCTGAGAGGCTGGAGCAGGACTGCCACAGCTTAAGACCAGCCTGGGCCACAGAGTGAGATGAGACTGTTTCAAAATAATGGTAATAAAAATAAATAAATAAATAAATAAATGATAAAAGTTTCTATCAACTAGCTTGTATTTCTTATTTCACCAAATTCTTTTTCTTGTTACCATCAAATTAGCCATTCTTTTTTTAAATTTTTTAAATTAATTTTATTTTATGTGTATGTGTGTATTGCCTGCACGTAAGTAAGTGCACCTGTGTCGTGCAATGCCTGTGGAGGTCAGAAGAGGCTGTCAGATCCCCTGGGACTGGAGTTACAGACAGTTGTTAGCTGCCATGTGGGTGCTGGGATTCAAACCCTGGTCTTCTGCAGGAACAACCGGTGTTCTTAACCGCTAAGCCATCTCTCCAGTCCCAGGTTAGCCATTCTTTAATGCTCACTAACCCAACAGCCATCAGTAACTCTTAATTCATTACATCATGTAACATCCTTCTGAAGAGCTTTCCCAGATCTCTCTGACCAATAAGCAGGCAGCACCCTGCACAACTCCCAAGCGGATGTCTGGATGTTACTAAGGTTCCAGTCATGCTGTCTCTTCAGTTTTCTCCCAAGCTATGGTTGTACCGTACCCCAATCTGGAAGGCTCTCTCTCATGTAAGTGCAGAGGTTTGCATAAATTGTATTCTTCGGTTCACAACTTCGGTTCTTTTACCAAAACATATTAGAGGGGCTGGAAAAGATGGCTCATCGATTAACAGCATCAGCTACTCTTGCAAAGAACTCAGGTTCGGTTCCCAGCAGCCAAATGGAGGCTGTGCTGGATAGCTTTAGTGTCAACTTGACACACCTGGGTTGAGGGAGCCTCAATTGGGGAATTTCCTCTATTGGACTGGCCTGTGGCCATGTCTGAGGGGCATCTTCTTGATGAGTGATGTGGGAGGGCCCAGCCCACTGTGGGTGGTGCCACCCCTGGGCAGGTGGGCCTGTGTTGCATAAGAAAGCAGGCTGAGCAGGGGCCAGGGGAGCAAGCCAGTAAGCAGCATTCCTCCATGGCCTGTGCTCCAGCTCCTGCCTCCAGGTTCCTGCCCTGAGTTCCTACCTTGGGCTCCCAGATGAACTGTGACCTGGGAGATGTAAGCTGAATAAACCCTTTCCTCCCCAAATTGGTAGTGGGCAGAGTGTTTTGTCACAGCAATGAAGAAACAAACCAGAACAGAGGCTAACAACTCTTTGTAATTCCAGTTGCAAGGGATCTGATGCCCTCTTCTAACCTCCACAGGTATTACACACATGGGTGCACTTACTTGCATGTACACAAAACATTCATACATGTCTGTCTGTCTGTCTCTCTCTCTCTCTCTCTCTCATGCCAAGCATGGTGGAACACACCTTTAGCCCCAGCACTTGGGAGGCAGAGGCAGGCAGATCTCTGTGAGATCGAGGCCAGCCTGGTCTGCATAGCAAGTTCCAGAAAAGTTATTATCAAAGAAATAATATGAGAAAATTTCCAAGACCCAAGGAACATAAATACCCACATAGTTCATTGTGTATGGAACCCAACAGAAAAAGAAACCTATGTAAGGAATTAAAAACTCTGGTGCTTAGGGTATAGTTCAGTGGTAGATTCTGGGTTCAACTCCAAATAAAACAACATTCAATTTGATAAGAAATCAAGGATAGGGAAAACATAAAAATTTCTGTGGCTAGAAGCAAGAAGAAAAAAGGACACCAGAGAACAAAACTACCAGCTACTAGAAGTCAGTGAAATGTTTCTGATTTAGAGTTCAGCTTTTTTTTTTTTTAAGATTTCTTAGTATTATTATTTTTATTTATGTGTGTGTCTGTATGAGTGACTGTCATATATGTGTAGGTGTCTGCAGAGGCTAAAAGAGGGTGTTAGATTCCCTCAGAGTTGGAGTCACAGGCAGTTGTGAGCAGCCTTACATGGGTCCTGGGAACCAAACTCAGGTCCTCTGGAAGAGCAGCAAAAGCTCTTAATTACTGAGCTATCTCTTTGGCACCCTGAGCTGAATTTTCTTTAAAAGATTTTTTTAAATTAATTTTTAAAAGTTAATTTTTATTTCATGTATATGAGTATTTTACTGTATGTATGCAAGTGAACTCATGTTATACAATGTCTGCAGAGGTCAGAAGACAGCATCAAGATCCCTGGAACTGGACTTAAGGGCAGTTGTTAACTTCCATGTGGGTGCTAAGAACCAACACAAGTCCTCTGCAAGAACAGCCAGTGTTCTCACGGCTAAGCCATCTCTCCAGCCCCAGAGCACTCACTTTTTATACAAGTCTCCAGGGAAGTTTGTAAGCAAGATATAGTTTGGTAGTGACAGGTGCAAACTAAAAACTAAAGAAACAGTTATTCCAGGAGAAACAGACATTAAGTTGTATAAGGAAGCAAAAGTAATTACAGATGGCATGTTACCTGGCACAGTAGGGAGCAAAATCACTTAAAATACTGAATACTATTAGGCAAAAAGCATTCAAGACAAACTACAGTGGTAGGCCATGCAGCAGGAAAGAAGACAACAAGAGACATAAATCTTTTCTTATACACCATCTGGGGCAAACATATTAACCAAGAGAAAGCAGTATAGGCACATGGTTTAGAAATGTAGAGGCAGAGAAGCACTGAGAATTGAAAAATCTACATGGAGGTAGTAAAAGCACAGAATCAACATGTTTGCAAGCATTTTAGCAATTCTCCTAAATCTAAAACTTCCTCTTGTAGAAGACTTGGGTTTAGTTCCAAGCATGCACATGGCAGTACACAACCACCTGTAACTCTAGTTACATGGAATCCAATACCCTCTTTCTGGCCTCCATGAGATTTTACATGCATATGATGCACATAAACTCATGCAGGGGCACACACATATACATAAAAATAATAAATCTTAAGGGAAAAAAATCCATCACTTTATACAACTGATTAAAGCCCTGTGAACTTCTATCCTCATAAATAATAGTGAGCTTTATGTAGTCATCCAATCCTCCTACAAATGTTTTAAAAAGTTTATTTGCAATACTGAGAATCAAATCTAGGGTCTCAGGCATGCTAGATAATCATTTCAATACTGAGCTACATCTCTAATGCCCCCAAATTCCAGTCTTACCTTGGTACCTGCCAACTCCTTCATCATGAATAGAGAATCATCAGCCCGTTCATCATCATCATCATCGTAATTTGGGGAAGGAGCTCCTTCTGCACTTTGTCTTAATAGGCTGCCACTGCCTCTAGGATCAAATGGATCTACCACAATGGGCTCAGTACCTTTGATTTCACATCGACAAAAAGGACAGCCCTGACCTTCTGATTCCTGCAGAAGAAGCAGATGCTAGTAAGAGATACATAGGAAAATGCTTACATGTGTATCTACTAGTACATACATTTCCTAGAGAAAACGAAATCAAAGAGAGATAGAGCTTGGCCAGGCATGGTGGCATATGCCTTTAATCCCAGCATTCGGGAGGCAGAGGCAGCTTGGTCTACATAGCGAGTTCCAGGTCAGCTGGGGCTACAGGGAGACTGTCACAAAAAGAGCAAAAAGAATGAGAATGAGAACAAGATGAGAGAGAGAGACAGACAGAGAGAGAAAGAGAAAACAAGCTCAGAGGTAGTATGTGTGCTTAGCATGTACAAGGCCCTGGATTCACTACTCACTGCCCAGAAAGAGAGAAGAAAAATAAAAAGAGAAGTCAGGCATTGTGGACCATCCCTGCAATGCCAGTACTTGGGAGGTCAAGATAGAAGGAACATGAATTTGAGGTCATCTTCAGATATAGTCATTTTGAGGCCAGATTGAGCTAAATGAAGCCTTGCCTAAAAATAAAAATTTAAATTAAAAAAAAGACAGAAAGGAAAAACAAAAAGGAGGGAGGAATTTAAAAGAGTAAACCTACCCCACAAACCAGGCCATCTTTTATAAAGAATATATAATACCCACTTCTTCACAGTAATCACATAGTGGAGAAAATGGGTAGTTTCAACATTCATACCTGCCAGGATGTAAGGCAAGATGTGCACATGAGGTGTCCACAGGGCTCAATCTTCACATCTTTATCGTTTTCAGCACATATTTTACATAGTTGAAATGTGGAACCCATCTCACAGTATAATTCATATTGTTCCTTTGATTAAAAAAATTAAGAGATATGTGTTGGAGGATGACAGTAAATACTAGTAACAAAAAAAACTAAAGACCTACTTTCTACACAAATTCACATAATAGGGACTGGGGAGATGGTTTAGTGGGTAAAGTGCTTATCGCACAAGCATGAGGACTTGAGTTTGAATCCCCAGCACCCACTTAAAAGTCAAGGGTGATGACACACATCTACAATCCCAGGACTTAAGGGCGGAGACAGAAGGACCCCAGGACTCACTAGCCAGCCAGTTTAGCCAATCAGGTTCAGTGAGAGATTATATATTTAAAAAAATAAGATGAAAAGAGACTGAGGAATAGACCCAATATTGACCATCGGCCTCAACATGTACACAAGTAGGTATCCACATAGTTCATGCACGGGCACACATGAACACACGCACACACATTTTTAAAAAATGTTTCAATAGTGGTCCATGCTCACTCATTAAACCACAAAGCACCTAGTCTTATCTTAAGTTGTATGATTTAAAGAGAAACCACACATATACACAAACTCACTAAGCTAGTGCTGCAATCACTTAGATTATACAGTCTGTTCCGTAGTGTACAACCAAAAGCTTGGCTCAAGTGATATGATTACAATATAATCAATACTCACTTGGGTTACTTTGATATGATCTTGAGGTGTTGGTTCACATAAACCTGTCAGATCAGGATTCTGATTTCGTCCATCAGGAAATAAATAGCTACAAAAAGAGAAATCATCCTTGGGGTTTTATTGAAGCAATTATTAGTACAAGCATTCTTCAAAAAACAAGTAACGAGCCGGGTGTGGTGGCACACGCCTTTAATCCCAGCACTCCGAGGCAGAGGCAGGCAGATCTCTGTGAGCTCAAGGCCAGCCTGGTCTACATAGTAAGTTCCAGGACAGCTGGGCTACAGGGAGACCCTGTCTCAAAAAGACCAAAAAAAAAAAGAAAAAAGAAAAAAAAGTAACTATTAGCCTGCAGACTGTACCAAAATAGTTGGCTAATGGGTCATAGTTTATCAACCCCTGTTGTTGCTGTTGTTATTATTATTACTTTGCCTTTTTGAGACAGGGTGTCCCTACAGCCCCAGCTGGCCTGGAACTCACTATGTTAACCATGCTGGCCTTGATCTCACTGAGCTCTGCCTGCTTCTGCCTCCCAAGTGCCGGGATTAAAGGCATATCACACCTGGCTCAACCCATTTTTTTTAATCAATAAATGGTCATGTTATCAATATTTCTTTTCTTTTTCTTTTCTTTTTTTTTTTTTGCGTGCTTAACTAAAAGTCCTTGTCTTTTTGAAGCAGGGTCTCCCTGTAGCCCCAGCTGTCCTGGAACTATGTAGACCAGGCTGGCCTTGAACTCACAGAGATCGCCTACCTCTGCCTCCCAAGTGCTGGGATTACAGGCACGCGCCACCATGCCCGGCAATTTCTTTTTTATTTTGGTTGCTGAAACAGGGTCTTGCACTATAGCCCAAGAGGGCCTCAAACTCACAATTCTCTTACCTCAGCTCCTGGAACGCCAGGATTACAGGTGTGTGCCACCATGCCCTGTTAAGCCTGTGACCCCAAAACCTTATACAGACATCAATTTAAAAGTCATGTAACAGGAAGCTGTTGATATCATCTACCAGGGGTCTCCTAGCATCAGACTGCTCTGACATTTGGAGCAACACTTCTTGCTACAAGATGATACATAGCAGAAAACAGATTTTCCTACTCACTTTAAAACACAGCTAGTCTTATGATACCTACTCAGCAGTATTTTCTTTCAGTGCCTACTAACTGAATGAATTTGAATTCTCAAAGGATACCAATTCTGCAGTAAGTAAGAACTTAGCCATACATACAAAAGCTCAAGGTCTGGTGAAAAGCTGCTGTAACCAAATAAAATTAGGATGAAGGTAGAAGACCACTGAGGTCTGCTGCCATTAGGAACATTTAATCACCTTAACATTGGACTAAATAACTGGTAAAATTTCCCAATCTTTGTGTGGTTTTTAATCTAATAGGGACTTGAAAATAAGTTATTTTGAAAAAGAGAAAGATGAAATGTATTCCTGGTAGTAACTGAAGCAACAAGAAAGCAATTTTACTTAGGGAACCCCTAAATAAAAACAAAACTGCTACAACCTCAAGGCCAAATCACTGTGATTTGTTAATTTGTTTCCAGAATCTCAACCTGTAGAAGAAACATGGAGTAAAAGTCATTAATGAAGGGGCACTACAGTCCCCAAGTTCCTAGAATCCAGCAGGATGGAAAGCAGGGCTACTCACAAGCCTTCCCTGAAACCATCGATCAGTGCTTGGAAGAGAGGTTTGTTGTGAGGGATTGTCTGCAGAATGTTCCCATCAGCAGTAACATATCCAATAGCCCATTGACCCAGACGAGTACAGCTCAGCCGGAAGATGTAACTGAGAACAGACATTAACAAAGTTTTAACATATATGCTGCTGCATTATGGTAGAAGGCAAGACAGAAACAAAATGAAAAGGCCCATCAAGAATAACTTCTTCAATAGGGGCAAGGGGATATGGATAAAAATAAAGTATGAAAATAAGATAATGAAATCTATTTCTTTACATTCACTAATTTGGAAACAAATTTAAGTAACTTTTTCAAAGGGCTGGGGTCTTGCTTAGGGGGAGAATAAGTACATAGCATGCCTAAAACCTTGAGCTCAATCTCTAGCTTAAAAAAAAATAGGGCTGGAGAGATGGTTGAATGGTTAATCATATGTACTGTTCTTGCAGAAGACCCAAGTTCAGTTCCCAGGAATTATGCCAAATAGCTCACAACTGCCTTTAACTCTAGCTCCTGGGGATCCTACACCCTCTTCTGGACCCTGTAGGCACCTGCACTCACAAACCCTCCCAAACCCTCACATACACATACACACAATTAAATAAAATGAAATAAACCTTCCATCTTCCTGCTTCAGCCTTGAAAGCACTCAGCATAAACCCCATACCAAAATAACATTTCCCAAAGTACAGAATTTAAGTGAGTTAATTCCTCTGAAAATAGACCTCAAAGGGGCTGGAGAGATGGTTCAGCGGTTAAGAGCATTGGCTGCTCTTACAGAAGACCCGGGTTCAATTCCCAGCACCCACATAACTCCAGTTCCAGGGGATCTGATTCTCTCCTTCTGACCTTTGTGGGCACTACACGACATGAGTGCACCTACCTACACACAGGTACACTAATACACATGAAATTTAAAAATAATACATAAAATATTAAAAAAATAGACATTAATCCTACTGCAAAATCTGAGCCACTGGGGAACTAATAAATGATACCCCTTTAACTCTAAGAGAAGTCCTAAGAGAGGCTAGAGGGTTGGCTCAGTGGTTAAGAGCACTGATTGCTCTTGCAAAGGACCCAGGTTCAAGTCCAAGCACCCACATTGCAGCTAACAACCGTCCGTAACTCCATTTCCAGGGAATTGAACGCCCTCTTCTGACTTCCACAGGCATTACATGACATGGATGCACTTACATACATGTAGGCAATACACACATAAAATTAAAAGAATAATAAAATAAGTCATAAGAGAATAAATTCATTGCTTTCCAGCACTGACCTGCCAGGTTTGTGAATGAATTTCTGGAGCCGCGCTTTCACTTCATCATATGTCAGGAAAGCCATGTAACCAGGGTGGGTGACAGCAAGGCTATTCCAATTTCTAAGCAAAGAGGACCAAGGCTGGAGAAATAAGAGATCAGTCAAAAACCATCTGGTTCAGACATACAACCAGCCTGAGAACAATGAAGAACAAAATAAAAAACTTCAATTCTGAGACTGGAGAAATGGCTCAGTGGGTAAGAGCACTGGCTGCTCTTACAGAGGACCTGGGCTCAGTTCCCAGCACCCACATGGCAGCTAATGACAGTCCATAACTCTAGTTCCAGGAGCTCTGACACCTTTTTCTGACCTCTGTGGGCATTTCATGACATGGGACTTACATGCATTCAGACAATACATTCATACACGTAAAATAAAAATAATAAAATAAAATACATATAGGAAAAACTTCAATCCTTAATTAAAATTCCCTATTTTGTCACAAATTCCCAAGTATACTGTCACTCTGTGGGAAGACAAATATATTTGGGGGCGTAAAACTTTGAAAAGCTATGAAGAATACATGCTGCTTTACAGGGAGAAAACTATACAAAAAATTGTTCAGCAGCCCTAACCAATGTTAAACAATGACAAAAAGGAGAAAAACAGAACATTGCCTGTCCTAGTTTACTTTCTGTCACTGTGATAAACACCATAACCAAAAGCCACTTGCGGAAGAAAGGGTCCATCATGGAGGGAATTCAGGACAGGAGCTCAAAGAAGGAACATGGAGCAAAGAACTGGAGGCAAGAACTGAAGCACAGGCCAAGGAGAAATCCTGCTTGTTGGCTTGCTCCCAGGATCACGGTCAGCTACTTTTCTTGCACAGTCCAGGACCACCTGCCTAGAAATGGTACAACCCACAGTGGGCAGGCCCGCCTATATCATCAGTTGGTAATCAAGAAAATACCCCATAGGGGCTGAAGAGATGGCTCAGCATTTAAAAGCACTGGCTGCTCTTGCAGAGGACCTATGTTCAGTTCCCAACACCCACATGGCAGTCTGTAATTCCAGTTCTAGGGGATCCGACACCCTCTTCTGACCTCCACAGGCACTGCACAACACGGGTGCACTTACATACATATAGGCAGTACACTCATACACATAAAATAAAAATAATAAATAAAATATTAAAAAGAAAGAAAATGCCCCCAAAGACACTCCCACAGGCTAGTCAGTCTATGGAGAAAATTCTTCATTGAGGGTCCTTCTTCCCAGGTATATCAAGTTGTTAACAAGATTAGCCACCACAGGGCCTATATGTACAATTATTAAGCTCTAAATAAATGTTTTTTCAAGTTGGCATACACATACACTGAAGCCTCCACGTAACTCAAGATTAATAATCCAAGAATGGAGCAATAGCTAGCTGAGCATAATGGCACATGCCTGTAATCCCAACACTCCAGAAGTAGAAGTATGGTCAGGGCTAGCCTTGGCTATGTAGCAAGCTGAAGGCCAGCCTGGGCTACATTAGATCCAATCTTTAAAAAAAAACAAAAAACAAACAAAAAAAAAAAACAAAATAAACAAAACTGAACAACAGAAAAAAGTTGGAAGCACACATCAATAGGATAACAGTAAGTGGAAAAGTGGTCCCTTTTGAGCTTAGAACCTGTCCCAACTCTCTAACCCACTTCCATTCTCAGGACTGCTTTTCCCTTTCTTAACCAACTGTCTCTGTTTCTACCACTACACTCCACATCCCAAAAGGATAAAATGTGTCCACTTTATGATAGTTCTATAACCATTAAAAATAATGCAAAATAAGAACAATCAAGAATAAAAAAAGAGCCTGGCTTGGTGGTGCACGCCTTTAATCCCAGCACTCGGGAGGCAGAGGCAAAGGCAGGCAGACCTCTGTGAGCTCCAGACCAGCCTGGTCTACACAGCAAGTTCCAGGCCAGCTGGGACTATAGGGAGACCCCATCTCAAAAGGACAAAAAAAAAAAAAAAGATTATATAGCCATTCTTAAATTTTGTTTTATTCTGTTTGAGACAGTCTTGGTATATATACACATACCCCTGGCTGGGCCTGAACACCAATCCCTCAGCTTTCCATGTGCTGGTATTACAGGAGTGTGCCACCATGCTCAGCAAGTCATTACATATAGATATATATCTTTTGCCTCAGCATCCCAAGTACTGGGATTAGGTATGAGCCACCACATCCAACTCAACGTTTTTTGTAAAATAACCTTTCTCTTCATAAAAATAGCACCAGTTTAGTCAATACCTTTAGTTTCTTACCTGAAACAGTCGTGTAAAGATATCAAATTCAAAAACTGAAATATAATCATTGCAGGTCAGATCAATAGTGGACTTCAGAGCCATGGCCTCCAGCCCAGAACTGATGGGATGTACTTCATGAAGGGCCTGTCTAAAGCTCTTCCAAGGAACTATTGTCCTGGTGTGGGATTAAGGTGGGGTGAGAGAGAATGCAGTGAGAACAGATAATTGCAGGTGCTATCATCAGCAAGGAAATGCAAGCAAACCACATTAAGCTCCCAACATCAATAGCAATTCTCTCACAGCAGCTGAGTTACATTCAGATTGAGAACAGAAAGAAGGGAGTAAGGAATGCCATTTCATAAAACTTTCTAATAAGTAATAATAGAGCTGATTTTCTACAATTTTCTGGCAATAAAGTCACAAATGAGTCCCCTTTCTTATCTTTCTGTAGGCATCTATTCTATTATAGAAGAACAGAAAGTGACAGGTTATCCTTTTTTAATTTTTGGAAACAGGGTTTTACCAGGTAGACCCTGGCTTACGCTGAACTTTCCATCCTCTTCCTCAGTCTCACCATGCTGGGATTAAGGGTATACACCACCACACCTATCTTTTCTATATAATAAATGTAGTATGTGGATGTTTATTATCTAAAAGTCTATATTTCAACTAACTTTTTACTGGAGACAGAATTTAGTGTGTAGGCTAGAACTCAGTATGGTCTTGAGGGGCTGGGGGAAAAAAAAAAAAAAAACAGCTCATCAGTTAAGAGCACTTCCTTCCCTTACAGAGGACCTGGTTCATTTCCCAGAGTCCACATGATGATTCACAAACATCTGAAACTCCAGGTCCAGGGGATCCTATGTTCTCTTCAGGCACCAGGCAAGGATGTTGTGTAGCACACATACATGCATGTAAGCAAAAACTCATACACATTGAAAAAAAGAAAAAATCTTTGGGCTAAGCATGATAGCACATGCCTTATTTAGGCATTTGGCCTCCAATATGCTGGGATTACAAATGTGAGCCACCACAAATGGTTGCTCCTCAGGTTTTTTAAAAAAATTGCAATCTTGTTGCCTTTGGAAAATGAGACCAAGTTATGTTGTATGTATGAATGCATGCATGTATGTGTCTTGGCAGTATAAGGCCTGAACCCAGGGCCTCACACATGATAGGCAAGTACTCTACCACTGAGCTACAACTCCAGTCTCAAATAATGTTTTGAACTGTTTTCTAGTATAGTTATAGTTACAGGAATAAAGCTGAATTTATTCTCATTCTCTTTGACTAGGCTTTAGAGGGGGATAAGCAGTGATGGAGATTGAGACTGCCTCACCCTCAACTCCTGAACTAAGCTTTTAAAATTACAAGCCAATGCACATTTTATAATATGATTTTATAAAACATGATTTTATGTGGTGCTGGGGATTAAACCCAGGGCCTTGTGTATGCCAGGCAAGCAGTATAACCTTTATATAGCTAGCTCAAACTTAGTGGGGGGTTTTTGTTTGTTTTCAATTTGCTTGGCTCTTTTGAGACACTATGTAGCTCTGGCTGACCTGGAACTCATATAGAGCAATCTGGTCTTGAACTTCTTGCCTCCCAAGTGCTGGGATTAGAGGTGTACACCACCAGCCCTGGCTAAGTATCAGCATTTTTTTTTTATTAGTATACTTTTTTCATTGCTAGGGATTGAACCCAAGGCCTGGAGCATTCTAGGCAAATGCTATTCTGCTAAGCTACACTCCTAGCCCTGGAACTCTTGTATACTCCTAGAAAGAATGCAAACTAGTATAAACCACTTTGGAAAGTAATTAGGTAATAATTCAGCAGAGCAAAAAACATGAAACCCCCTGACTGATCAATAGCACTCTTAACTATATAATTATATGGGAGAAATTCTTGCTTATGAAAACAACTATGATATTGTTAACTGAAGCATTATTCGTGATAGCAAATAACTTGAAATGTGGGGCTGGAGAGGTGATTCAGCAGTTAAGAGCATGTACTGCTCTTCCATAGGGAACCTGAGTTTGGATCCCAGAACCTATGCTGGGTGGCAACAACCATCCGTAACTCCAGTTCCAGGGAATCCAATGCCCTCTTCTGGGCTCCATGGATACTGCATTCATACACACAAACTTAAGAATAGAATAAAAAATACAATATTATTTGAAATTAAAATGTCCATTAACAGAACAGATGGGGAGACAAAAGGAAGAGTATTCAAAGAGCATGTGCTTCAACTAAATCTCAATTTTTTATTTCTTTAAATAAAGATTAGAGCAAAAAATGTTGGAAGTGAACAAAGCTAAGAGGTAAGTAAGTACATATACATTTTCTCCAAAGCTTTTCCATGTTTCAAATATCTTTTTTGTTTTTTTGAGAGAGGGTCTCTTGTAGGCCAGACTAGTGTTAAACTTACTATGTAACCAAGGATAACCTTGAACTCCTGATCCTCCTGCCTCTATCTCCCAAGTGCTAGGATTACAGGCATGCAACACCCATGCCTGACTTTAAAAAAATTACTTATTATTATTGTGTATATTTATGTGCAAGTGCAGCATGCAAGTCCCATAGTGAGTGTGTGGAGATCAGAGCAAAAGTCTGGAGTCAATTCTTTTCTTCCACCTTTACCTGGGTTTGGTGGATTAAACTCACGTTATTAAGACTTACATAGCAAATACTTTATTTTATAACTGGGCCATCAGGTTTTAAATATTTCATAAATTAAAATTTGAAAAAAAATCTCAACATAAGCTTTAGTTTTCTACAGTTCAAATTTGTCATTTATAGACTTACTTTTCCCCAAAAGCTTTTCTCCAAAATTCTGCAGCATCTGCTTTAGTAATCCGAAAAGTATCTCCTTGAAAGAGTCCACTTGGGAAGATGCCTTTCAGTTCTGCCAGCATGTGGCTGAAGATCAGGGACAGTTTAGTTAGGTTTCGCCTACAAATGATCAGAAGTACATTATTAAACACATTATTTCTATATTTAATGTGCTTTATTCACCATACAAGGTAATCGTGTATGAACATGAAAACAGATTTATACTTTCTGGTCAATAATACCCAATGGTAGACAGAGCTAGGAGAGAAAGAAATGTATTATTAAGAACAGATACTGTTATCTTTGAAGAAGGGCTTCAGAAATTGTTTGGCTTTAGCAACAAATGCAAAGATAAAAATCAGGGTCAGAGAGATGGCTCAGTGGTTGAGAACACTGGTTGCTCTTGCAGAGGACGTGGATTCGATTCCCAGCACCCACATGGTGACTAACAACTGTCTATAACTCCAGTTCCAAGGGATCTGACTCCCTCTTCTGACCTCCATGGGCTTTGAACGACAAAAGTGCAAGCAGATACTATACTTATAAACATAAAAGCAGCTAATATACTTATAAACATAAAAGCAGGTAATATACTTATATACATAAAATTTTTTTGATAAATAATAAAATTTTTTTAAAAAGGAAAGAAAAATCTAGCATAAAGACTGCTGTATTCATTAGGGTCCCACTACTCCCCACTCAAATGCTATATAATAAATTTAAAACAAAACCCAGTCAAATATTTGAGCTTAAACTAACAGGAACAAATTTATTTTAGGATGACAGATAAGAGAATTCAACAAGTCAGTCTAAGGACTTACACACTCCTGTAACCACTCAATCACAAAGAAAGGTAAAATTATAAAATGTTATTTCCTGCTTTGCATAAACATTTTAAAATATTTCTGCCAGGTAATTCATCCAAATTAATGTTTCAAAAAGTTATCAATAAGAACTATTTAAATACCCACACCTATCCAGGTAATATCCACATAAGTGTATACACTACCACTGTTTGTCCTGAGTTAATCTGGTCCTATAGTCTCTACTTAATGTGATCATAAAGATGCACACAGTACCAACTTACTTAACACAGGTGATAACATCACTGTGACCAGACTTTGTGTCTTCATGTCATTGTGACACAGAAAACAATCTAGATATCTTAGATACTATTACATACCAAATCAACTACCAATTATACAAGTTCTCTCTTGTTCTAAAAGTTTTGTATTTATGTGCTCAAAAATCTATTCTTGGTATACAACTGGACTGATTATCAAATCATGATCAATTACTGATGATCTATCAAATCCTCTTTAAAAGACACATTTTTCAGGAACTGGAGAGATAGCTCAGCTGTTAAGGGCACTAGCTGCTCTTACAGATGACCTGGGTTCAGTTTTCAGATCTTAGATGGGAGCTAACAACCATTTGAAACTCCAGTTCCAAGGGGTCTGACACCTCAGCTGGCCTCTACAAGTATTACACAACATGGGCGCACTTACATACATGCAGGCAAAATACTCATACACATTAAAGACATACATATTTTTTCTTCTGTTTTAAGAGAGGGTAACCCTGAGCTTCTCTGTCTTAACTCCAGTTCCAGGGGATCCAAAGCCCTCTTCTGGCCTTGTTGGGCATTGTATGCACATGGTGCACTTACATACATGCAGGCAAACACTCATACACATTTAAAAAATGGGGCAAAAAAAGGATACAGGAGTATATGGGAAGATTATGCAAACACTTTGAGTATATGGGAAGATTATGCAAACACTTTGTCATCTTATACAAAAGACCTGCACATCTGCAGATGTGGGTATCAGTTGGGGTCCTGGAACCAGTCCCCCACAATACTGAGGGATAGTTGTCTAATGTACTTTGAGGCTACAACAGAGCCCTCCCCCTTTTTTTTAGAGACAGGGTCTCCCAGTAGCCCCAGGTGGCCTGGAACTCACTATGTAAACCAGGCCTGCCTCTGCCTCCCAAGTGCTAGGATTAAGGCATGTGCCACCACACATAGCAACAGAGTTCTTTCTTGAGAAAATTTTTTTTTGTCTTTTTGACACAAGGTCTCCCTGTACCCCACCTGGCCTGGAACTTGATATGTAGACCAGGCTGGCCTTGAACTCACAGGGACGCCACACCTGGCTTTAAAAAAATTTTTTTTTAATTATGTGTATGTGGGGGCTGGAGAGATGGTTCAGCAGTTAAGAGCACTGGTTGATCTTGCAGAGGACCCAGGCTCAATTCCCAGCACCTACCTGGCAGCTCACTACCATCTGTAACACCAGTTCAGGGGGATCTAATGCCCTCTTCTGGCTTCTGCAGGCATTACACTTACATGCAGGCAAAACACTCATATACATAAAATAAAAAATTTTTTATTATGTATTGTGCACATGAGCACAAGTGCCTCTGGAGTTCAAAAGAGGGTAATGAGAACAGGCATGGTGACAGGCAGATCTTTGTGAGTTCCAAGTCAATCAGGTGAGACTCTGTCTCAAAAAACAAAAAACAACAACAAAAAGATGTCAGCTCCTCTGTGGCCAGAATTACAGGCTGTTGTAAGCTCCCTAATGTGGGTGCTAGGAACCAACCTTGAGACAAACCCAGATCTTCTGCAAGAGCTGCAAGCACTCTTAAACACTAAGTCATCTCTCCAGCCCCACTTTTGTGTTTAGAGACAAGGATCTTATGTAGCACAGATTGGCCTTGAATTTTACTGTATAATTAAGACTTACCTGGAAGTCCTGATCCTCCTGCCTCTAACTTCTAAGTGTGGGAATTACAGATGTGTCACCATGCCCAAGAATATTACCAGATTTAACTGCCTTTTAAGCAGTAGGAAAAGTAACCAATTTCCATAGTATTTGGATTTTAAGACTTTACACTGAGGGCTGGAGAGATTCCTCAGCAGTTAAGAGCACTGACTACTATTCCAGAGGACCCAGGTTCAGGTCCCAGTACCCACATGGTGGCTAACAACTGTAAGTAACTCCAGGTCCAGGGAATTCAATACCCTCTTCTGGTCTCTGTGGGAAATATACAACATGGGTAAATTTACATACACGCAGCCAAAATATTCATACACATAAAAATAAATCTTTTGAAAAGATTTTATACTGACCTGGATCTAAACCTACCTTCATTAATTTATTAATTCACTAATATGTTCCAGAAAAGGGAGTATTTTACCTTTTCTTTTTTTGGAAACAGGGTCTCCCTGTAGCCCCAGCTGGCCTGGAACTCACTATGTAGACCAGGCTGGCCTTGAACTCACAGAGATCCACCTGCCTCTGCCTCCCAAGTGCTGGGACTACAGGCATGTGCCACCACACCTGATACCTTTTCTTTTTATAGCCTCTCTCCTCTCTTTTTAAGTTTGAGACATGATACTATATAGTCAAGGTTGGCCTTGATCCTCCTTGTTTCTACTTCCTGTGTGCCAGACTAGAGAGTTCTAGGATTACGGATGTACACCATCACGTCTGGCCTTTACCCTTTCTTATATCTGTCATTTTTTGTTTTTCTTTTGCTTCTCTCAAACTCTGCTTGTGTGTCCATAGCCTGAAGTAACAGCCAGCTTAGATGTAATTTCTTTTATTTATTTATATTTAAATTTTATGTATATGAGTGCTTTTCCTGCATATATGTTAAGTGTATCACATGTATACGTGAGGAAGCCAGAAGAGGGTACTGGACCCACTGGAAATGGAGTAACCAAATGGGTATTAGCTGCCACATGGGTGCTAGAAACCAAACTCAGGTTCTCTTGGAAGAGCAGTAACTGCTCTTAACAGTTGAGCTATCTCTCTAGCTCCTTAAAGGTCATTTCTTAAAAATCAAGTTAATGTAACAAAACCCTTCTTCAGCATTTCCTCTGCAAAATCTCATCACCTGAACCAGCCTTGTACAACAGCAGTTATCTATGTTCACAATGGCATAACTATTTCTGATTTGTATCGATTCAAGTATTTGGCATAACTTCTTTTTTAAATTAATTTATCTGTTTTTTTAAAATATATTATTTTTATTTTATGTGTATGAGTGTATTGCCCGCATGTATGTGAGTGCACCCATGTCATGCAATGCCGCGGAGGTCAGAACAGGGCTTCAGAGTCCCCTGGAACTGGAGTTAAGGACAGTTCGCAGCTGCATCTGGGGTGCTGTGAATCGTACCCAGGTCCTCTGCAAGAGCATTCAGTGCTCTGTCTCCCTGTAGTCCCAGCTGTCCTGGAACTCACTATGTAGACCAGGCTGGCCTTGAACTCACAGAGACCTGCCTGCCTCTGCCTCCCAAGTGCTGGTACTACAGGTGTGTGCCACCACACCTGGCCTCAACTTATCTATTTTTTTAATTATTTTTATTTTATGTGTATTAGTATATTGCCTGAATGAGTACTTATACTAAAAGCACCCATGTCGTGTAATGCTGCAGAGGTCAGAAGAGGGCGTCGGATTCCCCTGGAACTGGAGTTAAGGACGGTTCTTAGCCACCATGTGGGTGCCAGGAATCGAAATGGGTCCTCTGCCAGAGCAGTCAGTGCTCTTAACCACTGAGCCATCTCTCCAGCCCCTAAATTATTTATTTTTACCCGCATGTAAGTGCATTTGTACATGCAATGCCCCCGGAGGTCAGAAAAGGGAGTCAGATCCTCTGAAACTGTAGTTGTGGAGGGTTGTTAGCTGCCATGTTGAGTGCTGGGACTCAAACCCAGGTCCTCTGCAAGAGCAGCCAGTGCTCTTAACTGCTGAGACATCTCTTCAGCCCCAATTTCTAATTATCATACTTTCAAAAACATCTGATGCCTACTACGTGCCAGACCAAAAAAAAAAAAACCAAACAAACTAGCAAACTAGTTAGGGCATTTCATGACAGTATCAGGCAGTAGAAGAAAACTCCTTTGAAAAGGAATAAAGCAGGACATGAAAAGAGCCATTCAAAGTTGTTCAAGGAGGGTGGACTTTTTTAAAAATATTTTTAAAAAACATTTTTTTATTATTTTTATGTGTGTATTGCCTGCATATAGGTAAGTGCACTCGTGTTGTGCAATGCCAGCAGAGAACAGAAGACCCTGTCGGATCCCCTGGAACTGGAGTTACAGACAGTT